TATAAATTTGTTTAATTTTTATCAACTGCAAAATAAATTGTTTAATAAAACATGACTCCGTTGGAATTAAAAAAAAACACCACTTACCTTTATCACATCACTTATCCAACAATTTATCGAACGTATCATTATTGATATGTGAAAGAAGAATAATTATAATTATAACCATAAGATAAACTTTTGATTACTATATGATATCAAATATATTTTTTCATATTCTAGATGTCTATTTTATAAAAAGAAGAAGAAAAATAATAATTTTGCTATATAATATGAAATATTATATTTTCTCTTTCAGAAAAATAATTGATGAATATAATATATTTTTTTTATCCCAGATAAAGATTCACACATGCTGATGCACTGCATAATCTTTAAAACAATACTTTATTTAATTAATAATTACTTGTGGCTTGAAATTAAACAAAGAATTTGTTGGTTCACATTTAATCCGTTTATGTAAAAAATTGAAAACACTGATGACCCATAATCAAACTGGTAATTAATTAATCATCTGATAATTTTTTTGGATTATTTTTATTAAGTAAAATTTATATTTTAAAATCAAACTTATTATATGGAAAATCGTAATTTAAAAGTGAAAATGAAGCACAATATTAATATTCTACAATCCTACACAATGCTGAATCAATAAATCCTTTAGATTCAAATCCATTAAATACATTTCACACTGTCGCTTTTAGCATTTTGGGGATATTTGATATAAGTCAACGTAGATAATATTTCGTCGTATAAAGGAAAAATATTTTATATTCACTTAATAAGTTATTGTCTCAAATTCAACCTAAAAATAATAAAAGTTTTATTTTTGAATTAAATTATAAATAAAAAAAAATTATAAAAATAAAATGAATGTACTGTATCAATGCAGAATAATTTATTCTTGCCTAATCTTTATTTTTACATACAGATCAATTGAGAACTGATCATATGTAATCAGAATGAAAAGAAAGAATTATAAAAATAATAAATAAATTGAATTTTTTTTTAAAAAAAAAAACAGTAAAAATAAGCCTTAACCCAGAAAATGAGACAATGATATTACACAATTTGTTTCTAATAAAAGTTTTTGTAACAATAACAATCGTAAGATATTATTTTTGTATTAGTTAAAAATTTTTATTTTAGTTTTTTAAAACTAGTATACAAATGTATTAATTTTAGATTAATTTTAACAAGCTCCTTTTCATATCATTCTGTCTTTTCATATCATTCTGTTTCATCATACTCTTTTGAATATACTAATTTACAAATAATAAAATTTCTTAAGCGTTGGTTTAAAAGTAATTTAGATGAGAATAAATAATAATTAAAAAAAAAAAATACAATATAAATATTCTTTCAGTTCAGTAATTTTATATGAAATTATTAAAAATTAAAATATTTTCTCTTTTTCATCCTCATGATCATTTATTATAATTGATGATAAAGTAACTTAATATGTTTAAATTTGTAACTGAATTTGAAGAAAATTGTATCTATGGTTTTTATCTCCGTATAATCGGATAACTACGATTTATTACACGAAAATATTGTAAATAAAACTAAACCTTTTATCGGGTTTACTGTGTACATTCTCGTTAAAAATAAAATAATGCAATAGTAAATTTATTTTATATTAAAAAAATACCAGATTGTTGCACCACTCATTTAATCGGTGATAACATATTGATTTTATTATTAAATTTTTTAATCATAATCATTATTAAATATAAAAACTTTATAAAATAAGGAAAAGCACTAAAATGCGAAATTTCTGAAATTAAATCTTTTGAAATTTACAATTCGAACATAAAAGACAAATACATTCACAATTATAAAGGGTGGGTGATAACTATAAATTCATATTTTCCATTCTATATAGAAAGATAATCGACAGATACACATTAATTAATTAATCATTTAATTATTTATCGATCAATAAAAAATAAATAATATAAATAAATACATGATAGTTTAAAGGCCTGAAATTAAACCTATTAATGCTTGGAATTCTATTGGATCATAAATAGGTGCAAGAGCTTCGTCTTCGAGTTCATCAAAAGAAACATAATTACTATATAACCTACCCAAATTCGCAACTGGATCATATTCCACCATTAAAGGAGCTCCGCTTGCCCCATTTCCTATCTCTAAGTCAGGTATGGCATAATAATCTGTTGCCAAATTTGTCACTCCTCCCCACGTACAAAGATTAAGTCCATCATTTTGACAATTTTGAAGATTACCTCCGTTTGGATAACCTCGAATAGTTGTTGCCACATTATTTCCTGGATTGAATATAGTACCGAGAGTTCCCGTAAAAAATCCTAATGGTTGGCCATTATTGTTATATTCAAATTTTATCATACCCCAATCAAAATGATCATCATTATTATTACGAAATTGATCTGTTATTACCGACGCAACGACAGGAATAAGACCAAGTGGACCATTTTGTTCATGGTCAAATCCAGGAGAAAATGCTATATTATTAAAAAATGTATCCGTTTCAGGATCAAAAAGACAATGCGCTGCAGTAACACCGATATTTTCAGTTCCAGGTCCACCATTGATTACACTGGCGGTACAAGTAAATAGTTCTCCATTATTACTAATGAATAATATTCCGATGGGAAAATTTTGAAATTGATCAACATTTACATCTCTAATTGTATTATTAATTATATCAAATTTTCTCGCCAAAGGGGGCATAGATTTCGCATATTTAGAGAAGTCAGTTGTATTTCTTATAGTTTTGTTATCGCTTCTTGTTTTAAATCGAATATTTCTAGTTTTTCTAGTTTTTAAGGGTTTAGCTTTTGCTATTTTTTCTGGAGTCCAAAAATTGAGATTCGCATCAACATTATATTTAAAAATTGTTGGAATTGAATAACTTAAATCGGTTTTGAAGATCAGTATAACCAATGCAGTTAAGAAATAAAATATAATTTTTTTATTCATTTTTTATTAATAAAAGTTAATTTAGATAAAAAAAAATATATTAAAGGATTGGTTTTGAAAAAAAAAACTACGAGAAGATAATATTTGAAGAAGATTTTTTCAGTGGCTTTTTATATTTAAAAAATTATCACCCTTAAAAAGAAATTGTTTTAGGATCAATGATTAACAATTAATTATCCATGCACATCTTGAGGAAGTGCTCAATTAGTAATAAAATGATAAATTGATTAGAAGAAAAGGCTTCTAACCCATTATCGCTATAGAAGTTTTTCTTTTTAGATCATTTTACACATACGATGTTTTTTATTTGTTATATTTCATTATCATACCATTAAAACATATAAATTAAAATTCACCCTTCTAACTAAAATAAAAATGCTAATGAAACCATTCACTGCAAAAATAACCATGAAGTATCCAATAATTTACTGTAAAAATAACACATGAAATATCCAATGTTTATCATTATGACTATTTAAAATATTATAATTTTTCTTCTAGTTCTTTTAAAACAATAAAATCCGTTAAAAAATTAAATAGAAATATTCCACTGTTTTTTTTTCTCATTGCATATGAGATCATTTTTACCAAATTTGTATTTTCTATAATATTAATCTACAAAAAAATATATATATATTAATTTTTGATTTGCCGATTAACGATAGAAAAGTTTAACAAATATATCAAATTTATGAAGTGAGAAAATCACTAAGTATGATTATCGATCGTTCTATACAGGGAACTGTAAGAATATTGTATAAACAAAAAAACTAAAATATAATAATAATTAATCCTAACAAAACCAACTCTAACCATAACTTAACCAATCCTTGACTCTAATCATAAATTTTATTATAAACTCGTCCTTAATAAAATAGTAGACAACGTACTACGATAATTCAAATCGTACTACCGTAAATCCCATCGATCGTATTATACTAAAATTCGCAATCGTACTATACTAATTTCTGAAACCCCCACACATTCCGTTGACCTTATATGTCCTGTACCACTGTTGAATTTCCTTCTTAAATTTGTCTATCAATCCACTTGGCCTTATACTGTTTTCTATAATATTTTTAAATCAATTAGAATTATCAGTTGCATTTATTTGAGCATCTTGAATAAACTTAGCTCATTTATCAAAATCATTTTAGAAATATTTCGAGTTACATGGTTAGCACCACCTTCGAGCATCGGTATATTTTTTGATTGCATTCCATAAGATGATATTTTTCGTTCGCTTATGACGAGTAGGTGAAAGTTTGCTTCTTTAAAAAATAGTAATTTTGTTGGAATTTATGTTAGAAAAAATTACATTTAATATTTATAATATAATTAATACACACACATGCCAATATAGAATTGAGTAACCAAATTTACATTGGCAATATTACATTTTTACGCAATTTTCTTGGTGAATTATTTCTAACCTAATTTTTTGATATACAAAATTAACAGTGTTGCATATATTTTATCACATGTTCACATGATATGAAAGAGCAAATAATATTTCGCAAAATTTACATTTAATTCATTTTTTTTGTGTAATCAATATTATTATTAGTTAAGCATCGTTATTATCATCATAATTGTCATAAACTTCAAAATTATTGTGCAGAATTGATACGCAATGATCCTTCAGGCATTTCAGGATTCTTTTAAATTATTGAATTTTTTTAAATAGCATCAGGAAATTTTTTTAGACGATATCACGTAATATTACGGTATTTATACGGGGGCCGTTTGACTTTAAACCCTAATATATAAGCTGAGTCGGTGATAAAAGGATAGAACACATGTCATCTTGTAGCTCGTCCGGTCATAAAATGCCTTGATAAAATCTCCCTGTCCTAAAAAACGCGATCGAAGTCAAAAAAAAAAGAATTTTTTGTCGTAAAAATTTCGGAGAATTTATATAGAATTATGGAAAAATTTTGCAGTAAAAAGATTCGTAATTTCTTCGTAAATTCTCCGAAATTTTTACGCAATTTTTGCGACATCTATGTTATATCACGGAGATTTACGCCCAAAAAAATTTCCTGATGGGACTACCATATGGCGGTGTTATTGAATTATTGTTACCTTCAAAATTTGATTTACTAACTTCTTTTTCTGTATCATGAACTTTAACTACTTTTTCAAATGTAACCACTTTAACTACTGAACCTACTTCCACTTCATTAACTAGTTCTTTTACTTCAAGGAATCCAAAAATAAAAAAGGTAAAGAATTCTTGGGCATAATATTTTTCAAGAAAAATTAAATTTTGTAAAAATTTATTAAAAAAATATTTACGTTCATTATCATTCATTCATTTTTATCTTCATAATCATTATCAAACTTTTTAATGCTACATTATATCTGTATTACTGTTGATTTCATCCAAAAATTGATATCAACCCACTTAAACCTTAAACATTGTTTCAAATCCACTTCTTGCTATTTCTTTGAAAGTAATAGAATGATAGATTTAAAGATATAGAAGTATTTACATTTAGTTGAAAACCTTGAATAAACTTATAAATTGTGATATTTTCATTTATCAAAATCATTACGGAATTGTTTATTGGTACTATTTTTATGTCATTTTTTTTTCGTTTACTTACAGTGAGTAAAGTAAATTTATTATTTAAAAAAAAAATCATAATAAATAAATTTTTTTATCTGAATTTACGCTTAGATGAAAATTACTTTGAAATTTAGATATGCAGAAATCAATTTTTTGATATTTTAGCTTATTTATCGCAAAAAAATGCTATTTAAATTTAATATATGTGCTGAATTATTAAAGGTTGCTATTGTATCGTTTTCTGTAAAATAATTTCATTTCTAATTTTATCATTCAACGGAATTAAATTTGTTTAAAAATTTTATTCATGTACTGTACATGTATACATTTATATTTCATTATTCAAATTTTTTTAATGCAGCACGTTGTTAAACATAATTTTATCCGATGTAAAGAACCACCATTGTTATAACCATTAATTTAATTGATAAAATTGATAATAGTTTAAACAATAGTTAACTTTCTCTGTAAATGTATTCTAATTAAGTATTGAAGTGCGTTGCACTTCATAATTTATTATAATTAATAAATAAATAAAATAAAAACATGAGAAATTATATATTCTTTAATTGCTATTTTCATTCATTTTTTTCTCATCTGATAATTTATCTTCCTATTAATTTTTGACCATTTCCTGATAATACAAGCCTAAAAATATCGATGATGTAACGAGTTTCAATTAAGCCAAAATAGTAAATTTTTTCATTAGTTTATTACGTAAAACGATATAAAAAATATTATTACTTTCTAGAACGGCATGGAACACGTTATTAATACTTCTAATACTTTTTAATACATTTACTGCCATCATTTAAGAAACGAATAAAATAAATTTCTCTAAGAAAAATAATTGATTGTTCTTTCAGAGATTTGATATTATCGACAAGATATGTATGTCAAATAAATCATTTTAAAAAAATGTTGATATTGATTCTATTTCTCTTTTTTCTCTGATGAACGATATGTAATTTATATTATTACTTATTCCAACATGAGGAGTCACGTTACGCTACAAATAGCACAAATAGGAACTTCTTCTCCATCATCAGTGGGTGACAAGTTAATACAGGAATGTTGTTTATTTTTAATATTCAGAACAAAAATAGTACGTTGACGGTAAGAAATCTTGTTGATTAGACTCAGTGAAGACCTATATAAATATTATAAGGTATGATACTGTATATTAAAATCGTAAAACCGTATGATATTCAGTAATTTTTAATCTCCTTCGAGCTCGAAAAAAGTCGAACCAATTTAATTTTCACTTTTCAATTACCTCACTCATTAAAATTGAGAAAGCATAAAATGGGTTATATCATTATAGTTGTCACGTAACTCGAAACTAATTTTTATAAATGGACGAGTGGAAAAATATATAAATTTATTCGGGATGCTCAATTGAATGCAGATCGTGACTGGAATCATATTTTTAAAGATATTAAAGAAATTGCAAAAGGTAATTTTGTATTATGTATTATGTTAAATGGATTGATGGAAATATTAAGATATGGGTTATTAAAAAAAAGGTAAATTTGAAGTAGTATAAAATTGATTATTTTATAATTTAATGAAGAGATCTTAAATGAGGTAAAATTTCTCTGAATCATTATGATACACTTTTTTGAAATATAATAATTTATTAATCTTTATATTAATTAATAATTAGCATGTTTCATTGTTTCATGCTTCGTCAAATATCTCTAATTGACAACCATTTCCAATTTATATTTTGGAACCATTGAAATTACCACGGGCATAAAAGAAAATATTTCTCCTAAACATTCATTTGATAGACTTTCAAATGTTTTCGTAAGCATTCTCATCTAATCAAAATTATGTTTCGATCGTTGGGTTTTGATGTGTTCGACAATGTCACATGATTATAACGAATAAGGTGAAAAATTTTGTAAAATCATGTGAAAATTCAAAATCATTGGACTTAAAAGGAAAGTTTTTGTACAGTAAGAAAAATTTGATGTTATCTAACATCTATTTGATCTGTAGATTTTACATAGTCCAAGTTTGAATTTTTTTCAATTTTTAATTGAAGATTATATACTTTCACGATATATCTTTATCTTATCTAGTAAAAATTTAATCATACTATCATATTTAATATAATCATATATTAATATAATATAATATAACAATGCATTGAACTGAACTCTACCTAATTAATTAATTAATTTAAATCGAACTTTTTAGATATTCTGCTTTGCACATTAAAATAACGCTTAGCAGTAAATAATTCTCTAACGTGAATGAGTTTTGTGAACACCACAGTATAGTATATTTGTCTTACCAGAAACACGTTAAATAAAGTTAACTAAAGAATGAAGTTCGTGGGCAGTGTAACAAGAGTATCATTAATTATTTAGATTTATTTATATCTATATCTGTATTACATTCCTGCTGAAAACATTGAGGTAAAAATAACAATAAACAAACATTGGAATGTCATGTACGTCTATTATTATTATTATTTTATTATATTTTAATGTATTTAAAATATTTCTATTTAATTTATTCATTAAATTATAATTATAATTAACTTAATTAATTTCGATTAAAATAGATTGCCTCATCATAAATAATACGGAAGAAGATAATCTATATTTTGGAGGAAAAGTAGCAAATATTGATTAATTTCCAGTAATTTTTCATCACCGGAATTTCCTGTCACATTAGAAACATCTGTAACATTCGAAACTGAAGAATCTGAAGAGGAATATGATAGTGAAGATTATTGTGATGACGGTGATGATGATATTGATGATGATAATAATGACCAACAACAATTAAAAAATAAAAGATTCATTTGATTTAATTGATTCTAAAGAAGAAGATCAATTAAGAATCAAAAAAATAAAGAAAATAAATAAAGCATTGTAAGTGAAATAAATAATAATATTATTATAGAGAAATAGCAAAAATTTAAAAGTTAATGAAGAAGTTGACAAGAATTTCGTGAATACCTCTCAAACGTCGAGTATCGATGTGAACGTCGTCAGCGAAAGTATCAATGAGAATAATAGCAATGAGAATAATTAAGAAATTACAATAAACCAAAAGAAGTTCAAAAGCAACAAAATTATAATTCACAAACTAAAATTACCGCAAATAATACAAATTATTATCATTCTTTATCGGATGAGTTCAATGAATCTTCAGAAACTATAAAGTTGAATCTTGACGCTACCTCTCGAATTTATGGATTTCAGATGATGATGACGAAAAACAAAAACATAAATCTGGTAAAAAATTATTTTGAAAAAGTGATAATGGAGATAAGAATTTTTCTGAATCTAATAGACATTCTATAAATGATTTATTTGATGATAAGGAAAGAAAGAAAAGAAAGGGTGGGAGGAATATTTAAAAATCTTTTCTTTGAGAAATAATATTTTTTGGAGATTTTTATTTTTAATCACCAATTCAATCAACACAATCGACACAACCCCCGCAACCGATATAAATGCTATCACCACAATTATTGAATAGTTCTTTCGAAGAGACACCTACCGTTACTCCTTCAGATTTCGTAGTGTTGTTCGTGAATTTTCTGGACAAAATATTACATCTAAATTTGACTTTAAAATTGTTCTTCTTAGTAAAACCAATAATATAATTTCATTAATAAAACGATTTAAATTGAACAATGAAAAAAATTGGCAATATTATTATATTACCGTTAAAGAACATGATAGAGGTGTGTTTTGTATATACATTAATAATTTATATTAAATCTTCAATTTTATTAATTTTATTAATTTTATTAATTTAATTAATTTAATTAAAAAAAAAGATATGTTTACAGAAGAATCCTTTCACCTGACACTACATGATTACCCATTGGAGATATTTGAGACATTGACTTCATATCTTACACCATTGCCAACAATCAAAAACTAACTTCGATTTCTTCAGTTTCATGAACCAATAAGTAAATTATTATTTAGAGATGATAAAAATCTAGTTTGTTTCTAAAAAATCTAATGTTAATAATGAAATTAGTAATGGAGTTAGTAATGGAGTTAGTAATGGAGTTAGTAATGGAGTTAGTAATGGAGTTAGTAATGGAGTTAGAAGTCGAGTTGATAATCGAAATTTTCAGGAAAAGAAGTTTCGTTTACATGTATTTATTTATCAGATGATTTACCAATCATAAGGGATCTGTACCTAGAGTATCAACAAAGTCGTTAAAAGACGATCTATAGAAGAAGGAAAACCCAAGAAATGTATTATTATTACAATAGGTCAAGTTATAGAGAAAGCTATGAATTAGATTGGTATAAATGAAGGTATTGTGGATGATATTAGAATCCGATGGTGGGATACAAAAATATAATCTTATGATGCATCGTCGATGGAAAAAGTAATTTAAAATTATTTATTATTTATTTATTATTTATTATTTATTATTTTTTATTTATTATTTATTATTTATTTATTATTTATTATCTATTATTTATTATTTATTTTTTATACTATTATTAATTATTTAAATTATTATTAATTAATTAATTATTATTTATTTTATAGAAAATATCTTCATCCGGATAAGAATATCTCATCTATTTATCACTCATCACAAATCTTCGTCGTTTGTCTTTTGATTCTTTAGATTCATCCACTTCTTTGACATTTGATTATAATCCGGATGAACCAATGTTTGGATTAAGACGGTGATTTTCAGAAACGAGCAATGCTAATATAAGCATATGAAAATATAGAACCACATACCCAATCATCTACTACGTTTAATAATAATAATGAACAAGGATTATCACAAAGATCAAATTTGTCTAATGAAAATACTTTAGCGTCCGCGGTAACAACAAAATATAATAAATATTAATGATGATGATATTAATAATAATGATAATGATGAATTTTATTACTTATTGAATAATAACGAGAATATTCTAGATCCAGATAAAAAATCATTTTAACTTTACTTAAAAATGAATAACAAGGGGCGGGTGTAATTACAAGTATAACAATTGGAAGTTCTCGTATTTTTGGATCATCCAAAGTTCGATATTCTTTTGTTCCAACTGATGGAACTGAAATTAATATTAGTGACCTTATTGAAAAAGTTTGTGCTGATGACTAATTAATAAATATTAATAATAAAGAAAATGAATTAAAAGATGAATTATTTGATATTCAACTAAAACCTATTCATAGTTCCCCTAACTATGAAAATTCTGTTCTAGAAAATATGGACAATACGGACAATGTGAACGACATGAAAAATTTTAGCAATATTAGTAAAAATATTAGAACACAAGAAGTAGATATTTTGGAAAAATTTATTAATAAAATAAGTCAAAATGATTGTGAGGGTGAACACAATAGGATTAATTGAGTTTTGCAAAATATTAAAGCTGGTCAATATGACTTAAAATATACCAAGTATTACAAATGTTTTAAAAAACAATCAAAGAAATCTTATCTGAAAATCAACGTGAAACATCGACTAACTTTGAGACAAATACAAACTTCATCGACTTGTTCAACGTATAAAAATTTTCCGATAATAATCTCAATGAAATCTAATAAATTAGAGAGCATCTTAACAACATCATCGGAATTTTCTTTAAAACACACCAAAGAATCTTTAGAATCTTTTACACAATTACATCGAATGCTACCATCATCTTCACCTTCAAGAGCAGAAAGTGATTGGATACTATCAGATGAATTTGGATTACTGGCGGGATCCGTTTTATTCGGATAGGTATACGGATGATTTTTATCAATATTATCGTATTTATTTAAGTCATAATAAAATTATCAAAAATATTTTTAACAATATTTACTATTTTTAGATATTAGATAAATCTAAATGTTAAATTAAAATTTTTAGTTAGTTTTCTTAATAACTTTAAATACTTCATAATTTTCATAATCTTCAATTGAGAATTTATCTGTTGTTCTTATGGGTATTCGTAATGCGTTTTTGCAAAATTAGCACGCACTAGAACTAAACATATGAAGATCACCAAAACGATTCAAAATCGCATTTCGAGAATTTTTAACTCTACTAAGAATTGAATTTTATATATTTCCATTTTTAATGAGAAAATAAAGCACTCTTTTGTTTCATCCCATATTTAAATGCCATTTTTTTTATGAAAATGTGGGAAAATTTTTTTCAAAAGTATTCTACAAATGAACAGGTAAAAAGAATATTACACGAACATAATATCCATATAACTCCACATACAAAAAGGAGTCATAAAAAGAACTATATTAAAGAAGATGGGAACCTAATTGTGGGCAAAAAACAGAATTGTCATCGAGAGAATCAATTAAATATATTTTTAATCTATCAATCAACTATGTAGTAAACAATCAATAAGAATATATTTAATATATATAATGATTTTATACACGTAATTCTTTAAAAATTATTAAAAATAATTTTTAATTTCATAAAAATTTATAATAAAAACAAAGAAATTTAGATGTAAATATTTCTTTGAAAATATTTAACACAAATAATAGCCAACAGTCGTTTGCAAATTGAAAATATAAATAAATAATGATGTTATCAATAATGATTAACTTTGGAAAGACTTTTTTTTTTTAAAAAAAAAAATACAATCCGTATTTCATAGAAATTGCCTTTTGCATCTTTATAAATACAATATACACTTGTAAAATCTTAGACATCGGATTCGTTAGAAAATTCACGTTAATAATGTAACAATTAAATTTTTATTTCACTATCTAAACATAATTTGGTAATTATTTTAATTTATATTAATAAATTAATCAAGAAATAATAATAAGTCCATTCACATAAACGACATCCATTATCTCGAAGAGTTAAAATAATGAAATAGTTAATTATGACATCATAAATTATGACAAAAAAGTTCGCTTAATATATATAAAACGTCACGTCATTAAGACTTATATTTTATAAAATTAGAAATGGATCAGAATGCTAACAAATGATGGCATCAAAAGTAAAGGTATTATTATTATAAAAATCTTTTTGATAATTACTGAATTTCATCATTTATTTCTTTTTTCTTTTTAGATTAATATCTTCCAAAGTATATAAATTTCAATACTTGCGAATGGCTAACCAATTTCATGGCTGTGGTTTGGTTTTATAGAAAGTCATGATTTATCGAATGCACGTAACTAAACATTCTCTTATAATTATATAAATAATATTAGGATGGAGAATTAAATGAGAATATTACAAATATTATTAATAAAAATTAAAAAAAAAAAATAAGTATAACAATAATTCTATAAATAATGGTCATTAATAAAGTTCTTAACTCTAATTTCGTTCTTTCATATTTATTCGTTGCAATCAAATAAACGAAATTACTTTAAATTTAAAATTTTTTAAAAAAGGTCAATGTGCAAATAAATATCACAAAATTTTTTTTTTAAAAATATCTTCGAACAAATTTGAATGCATTTGTCATTATAAAGATCTGACAAACAATCATCTTTAAACGGAAGAATGTCTTGTAAAGATTAAAAATTATCATATAAGAATTGTTTGCATATATAGACTTAATTACAAGATGATAGTTTTCAAAGTCTCAATTAAAATATATGTAAGAGAGAGTGAGAGAGAAGAGAGAGAGAAAGAGAGAGAGAAGAAAGAGAGAGAGAGAAAGAGTACTGGTACTAATTATCTCGATCATCAATTTCGATGACACTTAATTCTACAAACTAGTGTTGCTTTAAGTTCTAGTACAGCAATACAAAAAACTTTTCAAAAATACTACACACTATTCTGGACCTTTAGTTATGGGGTAAAATAATAAAGAAATAATTCAAAAATATCAAATTCCGTTTTCAATTAATGTTGGTACATTTGAAATTTTTGTTTATTCTATTGGGTCATCAACAAGTTCTCTTATACTAAATGGTGGATATGGTTATAAATCATCATTGATTTACTTTTTTGAACGAAAACAAGCACCTTTTGTTTCAAGAATAGAAAATAAAACTTGTAAAATTGAAATTTATCAAGATTAAAAGCTTTTCAAAATATTCAAAGGTAAAACACCCGAAGAAATCCGGCAAGAGAATGAAATTTTAAGTAATATTGTTTGATAAAGTTTTATATGATTTTATTATTTTATATCTTAAATTTTTAAATTTCGTTAACGAAATTATTATTTAAATTCTTTATAAATTTCATATACCGATGATTTAGTACATAGTATTTTTTTTCAAAATTCTTATATTTAACCTCACAAAAGAATAAATGATACAATGAAACAATACCATAACCAAATATTATTTCTAATTTGGTATTATATTAAAGATATTATTTGAAATATTATTTAGGCTTCTATATCAAATTGTACT